TCTAAAAGCTTTCAGATTTTTTTTTAAGTTAAAAAGAGGTCAGTGTGTACATGGAAAACAGTGCAGTTTGCTTTGCAATGCCAAGAATTCTGAAATTCTGTGATTTCTTTTCTTTTTTTTTTTTTTTTTTTTTTTTTTTTAATTTTATTATATAGGTTGCTGGCACACAGACCTCCAAAGAAACTAGTGTGTGTGTGTCGAGTCGGGGCCTTTTATTTAGTTAATTTTTACGGTTATGAAATTTTGGGTGTTGATTTGATGGTTTTAAAATTCTATTTTTTTTACCTGCTTTTCTGGTGCGAATGTAGTACCACCAGCAATGGTTGGGACGCTAGATTGCCAACATGTATCTTCTTTCTAAGGTACATATCGTTTAATTGTTTAAATGAATAATATGCCGGAACTCTTTGTGTGCTTTGTTAAACTCAACCTTTAGAAACATATTTATTGGGATTATACATAACTTTATGTTTCAACCCCGAACGGTATCATAATGGTTAGCGTTGTCTGACTGTGGTGCCGGAGGCCAGAAACCGAGAAAAAGCGTTTCGATCTCGAAGAAGGCTGGATGTTTGTTAATATAAATGGTGTCAGTGCCAGCGTGGGCTCTAGGTGCACAAAACTTAGCAGGGATAGGTATTATGTATGGAGAGGGGGTGGTAGTGGATAGCGGGATTGTCTGGTAGAGGGTGTGGAGCTTTAAGAGTGAGTAGGATAAAGGAAAGATTGTATGGTGAGAATGTTTAAGGGGGGTTCGTGGGGTAAGGGCTGAGTGTGGCTGGCTGGTGAGGGGGAGTGTGGGGTCGGGGGAGGGAGTGTGGAGGATGCAATGTGTGGTGGGGGTTTTGTCGGGGTTAGGAGGGTATAAAGGAATGATGGGTGTAGTATAGTAAGAGGGGGTGGGGTATGGGGGGGTAGTGAGATGGGGGAGTGGGGAGGGGGGGTAATGTGCGGAGGGTGGAATGGGGGGGTTGTTAGGGTTAGGTATGATGTGGTTGGGATGTGTAGGGGAGGCGATGGGGGTGGAGATTTATGAGTCGGTAGTTGCGGGGGAGTGTTGGGGTGGTTGGGATGGAGGGATTGGCGCGTGAGAGGAGAGGGGGTCCGGGTGGAGAAGGTTTGGAGGATTTATGTGGGGAATTTGGTGGTGGAGGAGGGATAAATTAGGGGGGTGAGGATGGGTCGATAGGGTGAAGAGGGGATGGAAGGTGGTGATATAGGAGGGAAGAGGGGAGGGGAGGTTTTGATGGGGATGGGGTGGGGGGAGTAAATTGGAGGTGAGGGGAGTAGTGAACGGGGTTTGAGGAAATGTGGAGGGGGAAGGGCAGGGGGTGACGGCCAACGCACTGGTATAAAATGGTTGCGTTTCTGACGTGGTACCAATAACCGCTTTCGAATCGCGGGGAAGGCATGGATGTTTGTTAATATATGGTGTCCGTGCAGCATGGGGGCACTCTAAATATGTGAGGCAAAAGCCCTCTTGAAAGGTTGGTGGTAGGGGAAGATCAGGCGAGAGATGCTCATACCCATCCCCCCAGGATGCTCTCCATAATCACTGAGGGCAAAACTGAGCTAAATCACACTGTCACCTGTAAGGTGCTGAAGGCTGTTGCCAATGACAGGTGTATCTTGCGCTCCTTGCCAAGAGGAATTTTGTGGGCTTGGGCTGATTATAAAAGTCAGACAAGTGAGCATTAGTTTAATAACAACAATATGTTATAAAAACATAACACTCCAAGTGAAGCGAAATAATATACTAAATATATTGGATACCAAATATATTGCAAAACACTAGTTATTATCTTGAAATTTTAAAAAAAAAATTAATTTAGATATCTAATAAGTTTGCATTGAATAAATTGTTGTTCATAGCGTAGTTTATAACAAAGTTCAAACTGTGGTTACAAAAGGGCACGAAAATGCTCTAAGACTATCTAGGGATGTATCCAAAGTTCTTTTTTGCACCCCACTATGTTGTTGACAATGATATAGCTTAGAGTTTTAACTGGCGATGCTACATTTCCTCCAAAAGTTTGCAAAAACTGCAGTTCAACTATAAGACCTATACTATTTTACATCGCCTTGATTTTTATCAGTTAATGCTTTTTGCAGTTTTAAATATACATAAACAAAAATATGCAATGCTGATGCATATGTAAGGGTACAGCTTGGCGCCGTAGAAGCGATTAACAAATTGCTTGATCCTTATTTTGTGTCTACTGTTGCAATGGTAGAAATTTGTGCAACATTTATTTATTTATTTTTATTTTTGGTGACTGCTTATTGTTATTCTACATAAAAAAGATAAAGGCAGTTACCTATTATGTTAAACTTAGGTTACTTTTTAAATCAGTAAAATGACGATTTGAGCATAATTACTCGAAAATTTTTTATTTTATTTTATTTTTACATGAACCATTTGTTTATTAAACTAAAGATTATTATCTTTCGAGAAGAAAGGATTGACATATTTATAGAGTACCACTGAATTTAAAATATACCTATTTGAGATTTGAAGAAGTAAAAATATCCAAGGTATTCTGAAATAAAGAAATTGGCAATTTTCCAATTTTTAGCTTCTATGGAAACCGGAAAACTATTTCAAACTGTGACTTTCCGACTGTTTTACTCAAACTACTATTATTACTATTTTTACTCCGGCTTTTTCTGTTTTCATTTTTTTTCCAGATATCGGGGGAAAAAACATAAAAAACTGTCTGAGTGTCAGAATGCAATGAAGAAAGAGGAACTTTATAAACCAGAACTTTAAAATTACTCAGTTTTTCTAAAAACCCAAGGAATATTTAAGCTGACGCTACTAGCGCTAGTTTTCCATCAGCATAATCAACAATGAAAGAGTTAAAAGGGATTAGTTGCTAAATTCTGCTGAAAAAAATTCTGTTTATTGTTTTTGTTGCAAAATATTTAACAGTTTCAGCAATGTAAAACTGAGTAGTTCTGAATTTAACGACTGGAACCACTTAAAACTTCATGAAAAATATAAAATACATTTCTGTAATCTACATCCTTGGTCCAATTTCTTAGAACGATTATGAAAGAATAAACCTGTGTATTCAGAATTTCAAAATTTATTAAAAGAAGAGACTAAGCATTGGCGCGATGTTATTGAAAGAATTATCTATGCCGTTTAGTTTCTACCCAAACAAAACTTAGCCTTCTGTGGCTCCAGTAACAAGTTATTCGAAAGAAATAATAATTTTTCAAAGTGTATGGAAATGATCACAATATTTGACCCTATCGTATTTGTATGTATTAATAAAATTTAAACTTAAAAAATATGTTTCATTGCCTTGAAGATAAAACTCAAAATGAAACAATTAGCTTATCAGGGGATAATATAAAGCAAATTATTGATAATTAATTGTCAAATTATTGATAATTTTAAGTAAGGTCAAACAGGCAAAGTATTTTTCTATTGACTTGATTGAGCCTGATGCCAACATCAAGAGCGATTAATTGTCTGAGGTCTCTTAATTAGAAAATGCGGACGGAGTATTGAAGAAAGGTTTTTAGTATTTGTGTTTCAACGATACGACCGGTGAAGGCGATCAACATTCTTATTAAAGCTTTAAGAGGAAAATGGTAAGTATTAGTATTTACGGGCCAAGAATACACATGGTTCAAACATAACAGTTTTGAGATTATGCTCAAAGCGTTCCTTTTTCCGAATTAAAAAGTTAACATATGTTTAACAAATATGTAACCCTTACCTTTTTACGTAGAAAAACAATAACAACAAACAATCATAAAAAAGATATATGTTGCACAAATTATTACTATTGCAACAATAAACACAAAATAAGGTTTAGGCAATTTGTTGAATGCGTCAGCCCTTACATATGCATCGGCATCACATATTTTCAAGTTCAAGTAAGACAGAAGAGAACACTAGAGACGAGCTCCTGTCCTGATAAATAACCTTCGGTCAAATAAGACAGTGTGCTAGGAGGAAGGGGCACTCAGACCTGGCAAGCTAGAGGCAGCCTTTAATGCAATTGAATGCCCTAACCCCTAAAGGCAATCCAAGAGGCTGCTAACTTATCCAAACCGACGAGCTAAGTTGAGTCGACAGGAATACTTAGCAACTCGCATTTCATAGCTCCGTTCTGGAGGGAGTGTAAAAACATCTGCCATCAACAGAGGCCCCCAAACCCGGACAGCAGAACAAAGTCACTGAAACACTGTCAGACAGATCTTGCCACCAATCCGGCCTGCTAACACTACGTTATGGTGTACAGATGTTGGCATTAGGCGCCTCCAGATAGAAACCAAGGAAGGATTTGAATGTGCAGTTTTGAGGCTCCAGGTGCCCACTGGAAACCTCAGCAGTTTAAAGGTTTTCTGAATTCCCCAACTCCACTGACTAGGGTGTTTCGCCCTGGACAACCATAAATATCTAACTATGTAGCTCAACCATAACCAATGGAACGGACAAGAACGCCATATAGTCCCTGCCGAACCTGAAACAGATGACTCTAGTACTGTGGAGACTGATTTTAAACATCCGTGACCAAGACTGCATAGGTATGGATCCTAATCAGTAGCTTCCGAGGTTTTATCTGAGTCAACACCCCCTCCCCGGAGGGTTGATCAAATAAGACAAGAATTTTCCTGTGCAGGCAGGCAGCGAGACGAACTACGTTTTTTTTTAATTATCTAGTGCCATTGTGCGCCGCACAACCTTGCACGTATTGTCGGCGCAGGCCTGTGTGTATGGTTAGGGTCAGCAGTGACTCTCTCACAAACAGTATTAAAAGTTATAGATGTTCTTTTAGATTTTTTATATGATTAGTACAAAATCATATATTAATTAAGAGGAAGGTAGTGTTTATTTGAATTTCGCTCCGTAAAATAAGTTACAATATATCAGTATAGTAAAAAGTTTTGAAATATAAATTTTAAATGCATAAAACAAGAAATTAAAACAGCATATCATGCTATGTTAGAGGTTAGTACTTTAAAGTATGTTTGCCTTTTAGGTTCAGATTCCAAGCTTGCGATGTTTGGCTCAGATGTGCTACCAAAATGAAAAAGTTTCAGAATTAGCTGCTACCTGTAAGTTGTTGAAGCTATGCATAGGAATATGGAATTTCAGTGTAATGCATTTTTTATATTAATTTTCGTTTTGTTTGCAGCTAGCTTTGGTGGTCAATCTGTACCTGATATCCTTATTTCTCTGATGAGTCGTGATAAAACAACAGAAATGCAGTTAGCAGCTGCTAAATGGTAATTTTTTCTGGAATTACATAAAATGTCTTTGCATTGCTAATCTGCATGCTCAGGCTCAATGTCATGCTTTATTTATAATATTTTCTTAACAATAGCCTACTCGTGAATTATTAAAGAATGATTTAAATTAATTTTTAAAAATTGATGTCCTGCTAAATAGTGATTTATTTTCTTAATTTGCATTCTGTATCTCTACATATAATAAAAGAGTCTGTCTTTTGTTCATGCCGCGCGTAAGCTAATAGACCCACGGCTACGAAATTTGGTACATAGGTGCATCTAGACAAGATCCAAGTTAAGCGATTTTTTTCAAAATTCGAATTCGAATTTTTTTTATTTAATGTTTTGTGATGAAATCGCGTCATTTTGAGACATATTGGGCTATAGGAAAACGAGATTTTACTCTACACACTCCATTTTCACATCGTCATGGAACATAGGCACTTAGCTATTTTATGAACTTAAACTTTATGTTTCAATAAATCGATTAAATATGAATTTATTTAACAAAGTGAGCTTAACACCTTTTCAACGGAATTTTTTCTAAAAACATTTATTTTTAAAAATGTACAGTTTATTTTTCTTTGATTTTTGGACGCGTTAAACTTTCATCCTTGCGACTGCTTTTTACAAAAGAATTTGGAAAATGATATATTTTTTATTTTTTTTTTTAAATTTTAAATGAAGCTTCCGATGAAATAATAAATTTGAATTTTAATAAATTTTAATTAATTTTAAGTGAGCTTCCATCTTAAAATGTGATTTTGGGCGACAATTTCCTTTCTTATTGTTTGTTGATAGATTTAGACGAAATCGCATCATTTTTGAATAGTTTCATTCTTTTAGAATATGGGTTTTTGGCAACAATTTTTCATCGTATTTCTTATGTCACTGTTTTTAAGAGATTGGCATATTTCTTGTCATTTTTTTATATATATAATACATTTTTATTGATTTTTTTTGATGTAGTTTGTTCTGCAGAGTAAAATTCTTGCGGAATATATTGTTTTTTTTTTGAGTTTTTCTTTTCGTGTTATTTTTTGCTTATTTCAGTTTTTAAGATACTGAAAAGTTTTGCATGAATTTTGTTTCTTCAACGGAAAGTTGGTTAATTTTTTTTATTAGGATAATAATTTTGTATTAAGGGATATAGCTTATTCATTGTAATTTTTTCTCCTTGAAAATATAAGATAAAATATCATTAATTATACTTTGCTCTTCAGAATTTTTTTTTTTTTGTATTCTTTTATGTTATTTAATGCTCATTTCACTGTTTTTAAGATACTGAAATGTTTTGAGTGATTTTTTAAGGAAACAGAGTTCTTAACCTCCTTTATACCATTTGAGTTCTTAAGATTTTGCAAAAGGAAGTGGATTAATTTATTTATTAGAATAATTAATATTTGTATTAAGGGATATTGCTTATTTCATTTTAATTTATGATACATAATAACTTTTTTATGAAGTTGTTCTGCAGAGTAAAATTCTAAGCAGTTTTTTAATTTAACGTTTGGTGTTCCCTTCAGCCATTTTTCCGGTACATTTAAAAGCCAGACGAAGGCTGGTAGCGAAGCTACTAGTAATATATATACAGGAATACTTCGCTTAATACTATTAATTTTCTCTGACTTATTCTCATATTTTAACCATCCATCCATCATGAAACAACACTACCAGACACCAATTTATACTTAGCCTCTCCATGCGCATGGCTTTCTTGGTTTTCTTTCTTTTTGTGACGCTGTTCACCCCCTTTTTCTCATTTCTGACGCCTGCTCACTCCCCGGTCAGATCGTTCAATGTCTTGTGCCCTACTGGGATACTTAGTCAGAGAGCCGGCAACGTCGCGAGCTCAACAGCGACAGCCCGGCATAAGAGTATCCAAAAAACAAAACAAAACAAAAAAAAAAATACTATTAGTTGGTTAGTCTGAAGTACCACATTAAATTAATCTGCATCGAGTAAAACATTATTTTTGTAGGAAAATTAGGAATTCATTCCTCTCCAATTTTATTAAAACAAAAATATTTACATATTTATCTAAAATTAACAGAAAATACTAAAATGGTAAAAAGTACAATATGTAATAGAAGACTTTTATTGTTTGTTTACAAAATCTAAAAGAAAAATTATTTTTTTAACCAGAGAATTGGTGTTTTTGCATAATTTCTCCCGTTGCGTTCATCATGTGATAACAAAGAATTACATTTTTAAAAATTTTGCCTTGTTTCAAGGCTCCTTTTTTCATTTGTATCATTTCTTCAATTAACTCACATGCTCTTATGTCATCCCCAGTGATTCTTCGAGATTATTCAGAGTGAAGTTTTTCCCGTTTGCGCACATTTTCTTTTCATAAGCCCGTTCAAGAGAATCATCAGCATCATTCTTCTCAGTTGAGAGATTCCGTTTGAATACAGTCCATGACAATGGCAACATCAAATGAATCAAGTCTGAGTTTCACGACTTTCAATAACATTTCAATTAATGTAGTTTTTCCAAAATATGTTCAGAGATGGAGCATTTTCACCGAAAGTTGCTGTGATTGCCTGTGAATGTGTCCTTCTAAAATAAAAAGCCTTAAATGTTGAAATAACCCCTTGATCCAAGGGTTGTAATGCAGATGTAGTATTGAGGAGGAAAATGAATTCTGACGTTATTACAAAGGTCAGAAAATTCAGTAGGATGAATTGGCATGTTATCTAATAACAATAATGCTTTAAAGGCTAAATCAAGTCCGGTTTTGTTTTCACAGTAACTTTTAATGAAAGGACAAAAATAATATTTAAACCAACTTTCAGGCACTGCTTTAGTAACCCAGCCTTTCTATTAGAACAGCAAAACACAGGTAATTAGTTTCTAGCACATCCCTTTAAATGGTGAGGGTTTTCACTGTGATACACAAGCATAGGCTTCAATTTGACATCACCAAATGAATTTCATCCTGACAGTCAGCTAATTCGATCCTTTGATGCCTTATAGCTATTATTTCTGATGAATAAGTTCTGGAAGACAATTTTTCTAGTATAATTCAAGTTTGTCCGTGTTAAAATTTCTCCATTGAGCTAGCCTTTCTTATTTCTTTTGGGAATTTTGATGCTGCTTCTTTATCTCGCTTGTGCTTTAATGAACGACAATGCAAACATTATGAATCTCCAAGTGTTTTTTAAACTTGCCACTGCATGTGTTGGGTCTGTGAGACCGAGGCAAATGCGTTTTTTATTATTTCAGACAGATGGCATCATCTGTACTGTTGATGTTCCATCTTTCCTCCTATCTTTAGTACATCATTTAACACATGCATTGCCAACAAAGTAGGTTCTTCCAGGCAGGAGTTAGTTCATCGTTCTGTGAGACCCAACCCGTCCAAATATGTAATTTTTTTCAAAGTTTTATTTTTGTGTAGACAAGAGAGTGATACAGGGGTTGGACAAAAATATGGAAACACCTTTAAAAAAAACATGTTTCTTTGCTTAATATGGTGTAAGAAACCCGTTGGCATCCAAAACAGCTTGCAGTCTTCTCGGAATGGATAAATACAGTTCCTGTATGTTTGCAAGGGAATATTATACCATTCTTTCCTGCAAAACGGTGGCAAGTTTCAGATAACGATGTGGCAGTGGATAACGAGAATGCCACTTTCCGTTCCAATGTAGACCACAAAGGTTTTCGATAATATTCAGGTCTGATGACTGTGGGGCCAGGGGAATGGGGACAATTCATCCTCGTGCTCAGAAAACCAGTCCTGGACAATGTGAGCTGTGTGAACAGGGGCTTTTGTCGTCTTGGAAGACACCATCACCATCGGGGAACAAAGTTTGTACCATGGGATGAACTTGATCGGCCAAAATGTTTACATAAGTCTTGGCAGTCATGTGCCCTGACACAGTTATCATGGGGCTAGCAGAGAACCACGATATAGCTGCCCAAACCATAACAGAACCCCCGCCATGTTTCACTCTTGGCAACAAGCAGTCTATATTATAGGCTTGAGATGGCGTTCTCCAGACGTAAACTCGGCCAGAAGTGGGAAACAATGTGAAAGAATACTCGTCAGACCATATTACTTGCTTCCACTGCTCTATAGTCCAGGCTTTATGACTTAAACACCACCTTTTCCTGTTACGGGCATTAGCATCACTGATGAGTGGCTTCTTAATTGCAGCACGGCCAGCAATTCCCTGTTTATGAAGCTCGCTTCTAATTGTTTTGGTACTCACAGGGTTCTGTAACACAACATTCATTTCAGCAGTAACTTTTGCAGCTGTGGTCTTCTTATTTTTCGTCACAATTGCCCTTAATGATCGTCTGTCACTATCACTCAGGACACACTTTCGTCCGTGCTGTGATTTAGCAGATGATGTTTTTCCGCTTTTCAAATATGCGGAATAAATCTTCGATACAGTACCTCTTGAAACACTAAACACCCCGGCTACCTTGCTTACAGAAGCACCTACCATATACGTGCTCCAACAATTTGCCCACATTCGAAGTCTGTTAACTCTGACATAATGCAATGACAACCTCACATAACAGTACTCCGACAACAACTGAACTTTACGAAGTTGTATAGGTGGCATCAGTAGTCAAAAACGCCAGTGCCACCTACATATTTCATTAAAATCAATCTTTCTTTTCAAACATGCATTTCACAAGGTGTTTTTATATTTTTGTCCATCCACTGTATTTTATAATGTTGTTCAAATATGAAACAGCGGTCAATGGTCTTTTTTTATACCCTACTATATGTAGCTGCTTTAGAAATCATATTTCATTTTCAAATCAGATGCATCTGATAAGTTTGAAGCCAAAAACAGAAAAACATTTTAAAAAAAAACTCATGTTCGATTTGACAGAAGACTGTATAAAAGAATGAGCAATGTTAGAATATTCATATTGCTGCACAAAACTTGTCAAGAATAGTTATAGAGTAGGAACATCGAAATGAACAGGAAAAAAAGGCTGATGTCCCTATTTGTAAGGACAGAAATACTCAATATAAATGTGAGCAGTGGCAAAAGATATCTTTTAGAGCATGTTGCGTTTTTTTTTGGGGGGGGGCTTATGATTGTGAAAATGAAATATGAATCATCGTTTTGAGTCAGCTATTCATCAGCAAAAGAAAATACCTTAATCAAATGCTTACTGTATTTTAACTATTTTGTTTTATGTTTATAGTTAGCTCACTATAATGTCTGAAAAGATACCTTTTTGTAAAAAAAGTTCACAAAAATATAAAAATTTATTTTGTTGATCTGTTTTAGGATTTTAGTGTTGTAAATATGTTTAACTAAAAAAGGGTGAAGTTGTTTTAATTTAAAAATGAAGTAAGTACGATATATCTGATGTAATGGGTCTGATAGACCCAACCCGTGCATTTGCGGCATATTTTTCCATCTGTGCAGTCACAGGTTTTAAAATGAAAGAACCATCCACAGTTTGCTTGAAAATTTTCATCAGTTCTCACAAACTTCTTTTTTAATGAAAGAAGATGGTTTGATGCTTTTGCTTGCCTTTGTAGTTCACTTAAAGAATTCTTTTTTGGTTAGTACTCGATCCAAAGTGAAAGAAGTCTTTTCATATTTATCATCAAAGGACTTTTTTGTCTTACAAAACTTTTGGAAGCTAAACAGTTTGTTGCCATTCCATACTCCTCATATTTCTTTTTATCTTTCACAATCTTTTGAACTGCAAATTCAGTAGTCTTAGCCCCTTGGTCACTGGTAGGGCCATAGCATCATTTTTGGCTTAAAGATTTAAACATAGAAATTTTGAAAGTATAACTTCTGTCTGTAATTGGGGGAATTCTGAAATTGAGATTAGTTTAAAAATCTAAAAGAAAAATTTTGTGTATAGTTTTTTTATATTTATTATTTTTTTATGTATTTTAAGTAGTGTGATTGTGAGCTAAGGCAATTCAGTTTTCTGTAGGAATGTGCTTTTCATGTTGAAAGGAAAAATTAAGTTTAACGACTAGCAGTAAATAAAAAACTACAGTGTTTTTGCTAGTTTAGTTAGGGAAAGAGGTGTTAAATGTATTAACATTATTTTAAATAAAATAATTGTCAATTTATTGAAGACATATATAATTGTGTCTGTTAAATAAAACAATAAATGTGCTGTATGCATAAATACATGAATTTTTTTTTAAAATCACAGATATAATAATATATAATTCATTGCTGTGGCCTTTCCAAAATAGTGCAGTTTTTGCTGATTACTTTATATATTTTTTTATAAATTTCATGGAGGTTTACTACATGATATGGTTAAAGAGTATGAATGAAAACTGATTTTGTTGCTCCGAAAAGTGCTAAAAGTTATTTTTAGTTTATGTATACAGTTCAAAGTCTGTAATCCGAACGTCCATTATCCGGATTGATCTATAATCCGGACCTCAAAGCCACAAACTTTTTTTTGTATGCTTTACGCATGCGCGTTTAATGTTTACGCTTGTGCGTTTAGCACAAAAAAACGAAGCAACTTAAACAACTTACATTGAAAGAAGTGTTTTTAATTAAAGTAAACAAATAAATATTAAGCTTTTTTTTTTTTTTTTTTTTTTTTTTTTTTTTTTTTTAATTTTGATACCCTTTAGATCATAACTGCTCTTTATTTCATAAATTACGGTTTCATATTTTTAATTGTATAATTTCTGCATGCCATTTTACCAGATTTAAATTGATGATCTATAATCCGGAAAAACCCTTAATCCGGAATCGCCGAAGTCCTGACGAGTCCAGATTATGGACTTTGTACTGTGTAACTTTGTTGAAATGCAAAGTTTAGCATAGCTACTTTCTGCAGTATAAAAAAATTTCCCGCCATTATGCCTTAAGTCAATTCATTATTAAGTTAAAAAGGTTGTTTGTTTTAAAGCAAGAATATGTAAATTTGGGTTTTCCATGGCTGTTAAAAAATATGAAATGGAATTTGCCTTTATCTATAAATTTCAAAGAACATTGAGTTTAATATTGCCAGAAAAATTTAAATTGAATTTGGATTGCTTGAAAACAAAAATATACTGTACTTCAGTAAGTAAAGTGTTTTATGAGTATTTGATTGTGAAATGAAAAGTAAAAAGTTATTTACTAAAAGGAAAGAAATATTTTTTTTTAATTCATTGTTCTGTAATGCTAATTCTAATCTGCATAACATGCATTTTTAAATGATAATGAAGTCTGATTGCAACACCTTATTACATAGAAAGTCATGAATATAATACAGATTTCTGCACACGTAATAATTCATTCTTGGTTGAACAGACTACTGCAGTTATTGTAGTTCATTCTGAACTTTCATAATTTGATGATTAACATTTTTAAATTTTTTGTTATATAGCATGACATATATGTTTCGTGCTGGTGCTCTGACAGCTGATGATCCTAGGATAGTGTACAAAGTAAGTATATCTTTGATAGTATAAATGCATGATATTATTTAACTGTTTAACTGCTACACGGCGCAAAAGCGCTGTGTTCATTTGTCTCAAAACCGCAACGTAGCGCTTTTACGCTGTGAGTTTCAGTGTGTCTTTGTTGTTACGTGGGTGTGAACGTAGTCTGACCTCATAAGTACTTTGTAACATGAGTGCATTCTAAAATAACTAACTGTGTTGCAGTTTTTGAGACAAATGAACACAGCACTTTTGTGCCGCATAGCAGTCAAATGGTTAAGAATACCATATTTATTAATTTCCATTGTAATACTCTCTGAAATGTGTGAGTATTATAAACTCAGTCATTTTTGTACCACAGTTATTGATTATTTTCTATTACATGATGTTTATACAAAATCATAGAAATCAACAAATTAAGATACTCATCTGTACGTCACATTTATAGCATATGTTATGTCTTTACTGAAAAGAGTTAAACTACTAAATATCTTTTTTCTTTATTATCTTAGTGTGTTCCCTGCTATTTGAGATATATATTATGTTGATAGGGCAGGACTTTTTTTCAAAATCATGAAAATTGGTATCTGATACTAGGGCATTTGGGGATATTAAACCACTTTGGTACAATTTTTATAGGGTTACCACATATAGAAAGCTGGTTTTAGCTGTTTATCCAGAAGATAATAATGTTGAAAGTTTTATAATAGTCAATCCATTAAAACATGTAATCTGTATGTAACTTGCATAGAGGCAGGAATAACACATATCTTTCTTTTAATAGTAGAAGTGGTAGAAAAGATATTCTAAACCCTTGGTCTCAAACTGGCATCCTACACGTCTTAAAGCAATTTTATATGGCCTGCAAAAACATTTTAGTTATGGTGTTGCAAAGATTTTGCTCTTTCTTTCTTATGTGATGACATTAAATGTCTTTAAAAGACATTTAAAATTCTTGTCAATTTCATCTTCTTGTCAGTCAATTTCAATCCATGTCAATTAACTGCTTGAACATATTTTTAAGGTTATATTTATTTTAAAATTTTTGTATATGAATTTTTTTAGGCTCTTCCAACGCTAGTTCGTATGATCCAAAAAGATGTTACCCCAGAAGAAAGGGTAGAAGGAGCAGAAACTCTTGCTTATCTTACAGAAGTGGATACTGAGCTTCAGCGGATCGCCAGCATCAGTGATCATTTAATACCAACTCTTTCTGAATTTTTGAAAGTCCGATCTCTATCGGAGAATGGAAATGATGTTGATGAAATGTCTTGTTGTGATGAAGAAAAGGTCAGTTTTGATCTAAAAATGAAAATGAATTGTATAGTACTGTGTTGTTTATAGAAATCCCATTAGTATTTTATTACACAGTATTCTACATTCTTATTTGTATAGTATTGGAATCATGAAAAATTTTGGGTATCATATTTCAACAAAAATATCCACTTTAACTGCTGTCGAATGTAATTTAACGATGTTTTTTACATGACATCTGCATGTGAGGGCAGAGTAAATAGTAAGTCTTTTTCCCAAATTAATTTAAAATGGATTCATAAGTTTTTTCCGTGATGTACATACGTACGTACATATCTTGCATAACTCAAAAAGGAGTAGCCTCAGAACATTGCGATCCGCCGCACCAAAAGTATATATATTTACATACCCACTCTCTTACTTGGCTCGGTGAACTCACCTTTTTTAAAAATTCTCATAGGCTGGTAAATTGTGCATTCTTTCTTTTAAAAGTGATTGAATTATGTTTTCTTATGTTCCAGTTAACGTTTTTATGTGTTTAATTAATCTGCATAAAATAGTTACAGAATTATCAATAAAAGTTTTTTTAAATGCGACTAAGCCTAACAGAGCAGCCATATTTGTTTACATTTGAAACTTGGCAAAATAGTGAACTAAGTCAGTTTCAACACCATCAGTGTCTTTTTGCCGAGGGGCACCAAAAATCTGCCTTCTTGTATGGTGGCTGAATTGCTTGTTTTTGCGTAGAAACTTTTAATTGTAAAAATGGTTTTCATTTTTTTAACTGTATTTGGTGTTTTATTTTTTCAATATTCTTCAATTATTAATTAAGATATTTTGAGTTTTTATGTATTTTTGCTTTGCCACGAAGTGAGAATTGAATAAATTGAATGAGAAATCTATCTCTAATGAAATTTGACGAAATAAGTTTAAATGAAATGCAGCAAAAATGTGTATAATTTAATAGGCCGTACAAGGAAATGATACAGTGTCCACATCAGATTTTTTTCTATTCAAGTGTAAGTAGATGATTTCAACATTTTGGTCCTGATCCTCTAGAGACTATTATAAATACTTCTGCATTTTGGCTTCAGGAGGCATACAAAAAATATTTTACCTGTTTGGTGTTACAGTATTTACTTACATATTTCCTCGAGAAAATCAGTTAGTAAGAAGAAAACATTCATGATGTGGGTGAGTCCATTTTAAAAATTAAGATAAACTTTCTTTCTGAATGCCTTTAGGGAGAGAGAAATAACGTAAATGCTTAAAAAATATTTCAGAACATTGTGTTAAAAAGCTAAAGGGGGAGTAAATGTAGTATATAAGTATAATTTCAAAGTAATAAAAATCTTGTTTTTCCATCTAAATATTGCATAAGTGTAGAAACATCAGTTTGAATCATGCATACCTGCTTGAGTTGATGTAATCTTTGTAAGAAAATTATAAAAAGATTTGTTCCGTGTGGTGTAGTGCACGTCCTGCTAACAACTGGTAGATCCACAATTCGGTTTCCAGCAAAGGCACAATTAGTTTTTCATGTTACGCATTCAATAAAAACTGAAAAAATCTGTATGGTGGTATCTCAACTAAAATATAATTGACAATAAGTCACCTCTAAATGGTTCAGCTAATTGGATCATACTTTGTCACTACAAATGAACTGGAAGTAGAAGAGGAGTAAGGAATTACATCAGTCCTCCCATGGAATGCTTCTATGGTATCATAATATGTACACTGCTAAAAAAAAAAAAAAAAAAAAAAAAAAAAATGGGACAGTGCTATATCTCCCGTTCTACTGGGGCGATTCACGAAATTCAAATTGCGTTCTTCATGTCTCGAAAGCGCGACTTAGGATATATATTACATTTATATATAGCGCTATTCTAACAGGTATTTTGACACAAAATCGGACTTTTTCTGAAATAACATACCAATTTTTTTACATATTTCGATTCTACGACTCATATTATGCCAGAATACCAAGTTTTGTAAAAATCGTACGAGTAGTTTTTTGAAATATTAGCTCTCAAAATTTTAGCTCCTCAATGTTTAATTGAATTTGGCAAATATTTTATTTATATCTCTTTTTTTATTAAACTTTTTTTTTTATTTTTTTCTCTCACATTTCGAAATTTAGGTTTATTCCAAATAAAATTTACCCATTTTTTTTGTGTTTTATTTTTTAAATTTCTATTTTTAAATAATTTTTAATAAATTTTTTGAAAAAAATTTTGAATTATAACCTATAAAATGTTTTTACCATCATCTTAAAGTAGGTATATTTTAAGCATATCTGCAAAAAAATTAGACTTTTTTTATTTCAAAATTTTCTAAGATATACACAAATTTACATATTTTCGTGTTTTGAAATTTGGCATCTTTTTTTGAGCGATAATAATGCCAAATGTGGTCTATGGATTTTTGTTACACTGTATTGCCACAGCTATTTTTAACCTTAAATTTCAAGTAAAATTTTACGGAGAATTAATTATATGACATTTTTTCCCTCAATGATGCGTAATAAATATTTATTAATACTATATGAAAAGCTATTTTTTTTAATTTCTCTATCTTTTTTTTTTTTTTTTTTTTTTTTTTTTTTAATAAGAGTATATTTTTGTAAGAGTAAATTTCTTTGGTGTTTTATCGTTTGCTTACTTTATTTCGTTTAAATCGAATTGTCTAAAACTGAGAATTTTCGTTTGATGTTTATTTGAATTTTATGACATTAACTGCACAATTATTTCTAAACAAACTGATGCTTTTGAAGTGGCTGAAAGAGCGGCTGGTACTATCATCCATATTTTTAAAGCATAGTATATTTTATAGAAACATAAGATTTAGAATAATCATTTCTTATAAAAGTCAAATTTATGATATAAACATACAATCCTCTAGAGAACGAATTAATGGAAGTTGAATGGTTATGTAGAAATGATCTGAAGCTACTTAATGGCTCGATAAGTCAGCATGTTCCTGTGGACAAGTAAGAATAATTATATAAACGACACCCAACATTCTTGATTCAGTTAACCAACGAGGGTACGATGTTTATTAAATGAATTTAAGAATGATTGTTAAACATAAAAAATCGACTAATTTTTTATCCTAAAATGTATTTTTCTGCGTAGCGCATTTTCATTTTCTAATTTAAAATTCTAATAATTCTTAGAATTCTAATTTAGAATGTAATTGTCAAAGAACTGATTCCTAATCATCAGTAATATAATAAGTAATTATTACGGTTATTAATAAATCCTTCTTATAAAGTAATTGCAAATATTTCAAAAAACTTTCTGTCTGAATGCAAATATTTTTCTGTGCAAATATTTTTAATTTTATATTAATCAAGATTGCACACGATATTATTTATTTGCACTTCAATTCTTAACGTCAGTTCTAGTAGAAGTTAACAAATCAATTATATTTAATTAAGGATTGGATTGGATTATTTAATTGTGGCAAAGCACACGAGGGCTATCTGCCTAAAAGGGAGGGATGCCTTCGTGGAGACTTTCTAAGGGAAACTGGCTCGTATACACGTTACACATCGGGACAACCACGAAACACCCATGCAACCAGCCCGTTTCACGGGATTCGAACCTCGGACCGAACTACCAGTGATCAGCGTCTTACCGCTCGGCCGTTTTGTGGCCTTTATGAAATGGAAGGCGATAACTTTATTTAAAATGATTGTCAGAAATACCAAAATGTTTCGAAAAGTTGGATACTTTTTAATATACTTTCAGAATGCTTAAAGAAAAAGAGAAGAAAAAAATAAATTTTTTTCGTAAAATTTAGTATTTGTTTTTTTAATTTAAAACTTTTCAATGTTTTGATATTTGATTCTTGCATTTCAAAAATAAAATATTTTGACTAAAATATGAATAAACATTTTAAGAAACCAAATGTAGGATAAAATTAGGTAAAGCAATGGGCAACAATGATAGAACTGTTTAAAGCAGTGTATGCAAGTCATCCCTAAGTTAAAATGTCGGTTATTACATCTCTTATTTATATATATCTTTTCTGAACGGAACCTTGAAAGGCGTGTAAAAAACTGTGCTTTACTGTATTTTCTCTTATAATATAGTATGCAGTTTTTCAAACTCATCGTAGTCTGGGTTACAAAGTATTCTTCCGAAAGAAACGCAGTTAAAATAAATAAAATCGAATTCTGGAAAATTGATATTAATAATATATTTTAAAATGAGTTCGAAGGAATAAATAGAAATTTTAAAACAATTATCTGAAGAGACAATGCTACCACAAACAATTAAAAAAAGTATAAAAATTTAAAAATTACCTAAAATAATAACTATGACGAAAAATATATATAAAGAAAACTATTTGAAAAAAAATAATCGCTGCACATTTATTTACGCAGTTCGAATAGGTAAATAGAAATTTTAAAACAGTTATTCGAAAAAAAAAAAAAAAAAAAAAAGTGCGACTTAACAATAAACAATTAAAATGAAATTCGAAAAAGAAAAAATTACTTAAAATAATAATTAAAAATATAATATAAAGAATATTATTTGGAAAAAAGGAACGATGGTGGACTTTTTTTCCTCTCACGGGAAAGGAACTAGGTTGCCATATATTAAGAAGTTCGCCAAGTGAAGTATTCTTGGCGCAAACTGACATAAAAGTGCCAACATAAATTTGTGAATTTCTCCATAAATTTCGCTCCAAATTTTACAAAATTTCATATTTAGGCGTAATTTGAGTTGTAGAATCGAAATATGTAAAAATATTGGTATGTTATTTCAGAAAAAGTCCAATTTTGTGTCAAAATACCTATGTTAGAATAGTGGTATATATAAATCTAATATATATCCTAAGTCGCGCTTTCGAGACGTGAAGAACGCAATTTGAATTTTGTCAATCGGCCCAGTAGATCAGGAGATATTAGGACTGTCCCCTTTTTTTTTTTTTTTTTTTTTTTTTTTTTGAGCAGTGTACATCAAGTTGATAATTACAGGATCCTTGCATTATTTCTTGAGGGCTTATAGTTGGCTTCATTATTTACACTCTTAGCACTTAATATCTTACATTAAAAAAGAAACTCATGGAACTATCTTTAACAAGTCTTTTCAGATTTTTGTGCTTGCTGACGATATTGACAGTCGCACGCACTCCTAAGTCACTAAGAGAGGCTTTTACATCTCGAGAGGTTGCAGCGGGCAAAATGCATCAAGCAATCAACCAAAATAAAACTAAATACATACCATGTGATAATAACAGCAGCCCCTATTTTGAAATTGGGAATTACAAATTTGAAATTGTTAGCAAATTTAAATATTTAGGATCGGAAGTCAATACTCTCAATGATTCCTTAGATCCGTAGATCCTGCTCGAGATCTGTAGTAGAGTCACAGATGCTAACCAATATTTTTTTGGTCTCGAAAAATACTTGAAGTCTAACTTTCACTAGCAAAAAAACGAAGATTTTAACTTACAAAAGCTTAATCAGACTCATTCTTCCATACTCTGCTGAGACCTGGACAACGACAGAAAAAGCTAAAAGTATCATTTCTGCCTTTGAAAGAAAAATTTTGAGAAGTATTTGTGGTGGCATAAAATGCAACATTATCTGGAGAAGAAGAACTAACTCTTAACTCTATAAATCCTTTAAAGAAATAGATATAATATAATATATAAGGATTCAGAAAATTAAATGGGTAGGTCACCTGTGCAGAATGGATGACAATCGAGTTACTAAAGAGATCTTCTCGGCCAGACCATTCGGCACCCGAAAAAGAGGGAGACCTAAACTTAGGTGGCTTGATTGTTTGGAAACAGACTTAAAAATTTTAAAAATAACCAATTGGATGTCCATGGCCAGGGATAGAAGAGCTTGGAATTCGATTCTGAGGAAGGCAAGGGCCCATCGTGGGCTGTCTGGCCATTGAAGAAGAGAAGAAGAAGCTTATAGTGCACTTATTGTATCAGGAAGTGCATTCTTTAGCATTAAATTTGGTTCAATTTATTATTAACCTTTAGGCATTAATATTAATGTTTAACATTGTTTTTATCAAAGACATTGTGTACAGTGAAATCTGTGGTTAATTTTGTGAGTTAATAATTTATTTTGTTAACTTTACTGCTGATTGTTGTACAAAGTTATGTCAGAAATAAAACAAAATAATTGATCTATTTTTTATTAATCTTTATTTTATATTTTATTTATTATTTAATCCTCATTTAATCTTATTACCAAGTCTTAAAATGTATATGCAACTTTAAAGTTGAATTGATTATCTGCTTTTTAAGTCTCTCATTCTTATTACTATGCAATTTTGCCATAGCAAATTGCACAGATTTGCTTTGTCAGAGAATCGGAGACTTACTAGTTCTTTAAAACAGTACCAAAACTAAAACTGTGGTAAAATTATCGCTACCTAGCTTTGGCCTTCTGAGTCTCAGCCTCTCTTATCAGTTGCCTTTAAAGAGAACTGGGAAGAGTGGAAATGTAAGAAATTATGGCATTCTTTCTATATGTAGTGCTTAGCACTTTTAGCTGGAGATTGGAAGGTCTATGGCTGATTCTTGGAAAAGACATAAGTGATTTTTCATGTTTCCGTCTCTAAAAGTCTCTTTGAGAGTTTAATCTGCTATATTTCAACATGCTGTGATTTGTTTCTATTTAGGGAATATTATATAATTTATAAACTGTTTATTTCTTTTTATTTGAAATTTTCAAGGGGGACTTTAGTTTACTGCAGATGCTAATCATCAGCAATTAGAGCACAAGTATATATATATTATATGGATTTGTGTTGCTTTATCAACTAATTTAGTATTTAGATTTATAAATTTCATTTTTGTCTTAGTGTTCACATAACTTTTATGTACTTTTTATGTGTAGTAATATGCTAGAATTTTGAATTGAATTAAATGTGTAATAATGTCTTTAATGTGGGAGCATGATAAAAGGATGGTTAAATTTCAAATTTAATGGATTACTTTTGGCGCTGTTATGAGTTTTTTAGTTTATATTAATTTTATTAGGTACTATTCCGTTTTGAGGACCGTAAAAAAATTGCAGCAAAAATGTATGCGCAAAAGCGCCAAATCTAGAAAACGCGCCCATTTAACAGCGTGCCAAATCTAGAGTTAGCGCTGATTTCAGATTGCGTAAGTTTATATCAAATCATATAAGTTTCTTAAGACACCATTGAAATATTAGTTTTATTGTTAATCCTTTTTTGGATATCCTATGGATTTAACAATTTGGGAATTGCCCATGACAAAAAGTCTGCAATAGAATTTTGGGTAAAGTGCAGAATCACCCACTGCTTGACATGTTTTTCGGTATCCATGTACACATCGACCTATTTTCACATTAACAAAAAAATCCCAGAATTGTACAAAAATGGCACTGCACACACTCTGGACTTTATCTATGTACAAATTGACCTATTTTCACTTAAAAAGTAAAAGAAAATTGACAAAAATCCAATTGTTTTTATCCTTGTAAAAAACAGCAAACAAATAAGTGTGCGATTCTGCACTTTACCGAGAATTTTTTCAAAGAAAATGCATCATTCATTATAAAAAATTATGTTTGAACAACCAACGAGATAAAACTATGCTTAGCGATAACTCAGTAGCGAAATAGCGATGCATGCATCCATTCAACTATGTTTAGTAATTTTTATATAAATTATAATAATGATCTGAAATAGTTATTTACTCTTATACTTCCATTCAATCATGTTTAGCCTTTTTTATGTAAATTATAATAATAAAAAAGTTTTATATGAAATTAACCTTTCATCTAAATTAAAACATCAATCTTAAATAGTTTACTATTATACTTCCTTTCTTGCGTTAGGGTTGCCGCAATTATTTTTGGCAGCACTGGCATCAACAATAGTTTGGCAATTTTTTACGGCTCTCAAAACCGAATAGTACCTTTTATTACTCAGCTTAAATTGAAATTGTTGTATTTCCTTCCAGAATGCTCAAGAAGTAAAAATGGCTCAGGAAATGAAACAAGCTGCCTTTAAAGCATTCTCCTCATTGGCTGCAAATGATGAAGAAATTCGTAAAAAAGTAATCTGTTTTTCTATAATTCTTGATAGCATTGTTTAAAAGGTGACTCTAGAGATTGCATTATCTTTCACCATTCCTTTTACATATACTCTTTTAGGATTTTTTTAGCATACCAGTTTTTGAAACATGTAGATTAAGAAGAGTTCTTGGTACCAGCAAATTTTGTTTAATTGTAAAATATTTTGTAAAGTGATTCCTTTTATTCATTCCAAAAAAATTTGCATAAATTATTTAAACATCATTTTAAATTATTCTTGAATCGTTAATCAACTTCAGGATAAAATGAATCGATAAATATTTAAAATTGTTTTATTAATGTTGTCTTATTTATATTTCATTATAAAAAACTTTGTAATGTTATTTAATTTATGTATATTTTTATAAATCAACATACACATCATATCATAGTAGCACAAACCAAGCTCATCCTATCAGTGGCTAAGACTTTTAAATATTGGTAGTTCAACCTAGTTTCACATCCTGGCAGATTGGATGGCTACGGGATGCTTTCATCATTTCCCGTATATGCAATGGAAATGCAAACCATTTGCTCTTTGAAAGTCCTTTTAAAGGCATCTTTCCATAGGCAGGTAGTTCTTTTGTGTTTTGCTGTATTCAAATAAATATACAGAATTGTATTACAAATGTGATAATTATTTTAAGCGTGTTTCATAAATGTTGTCGTTGTCCTAAAGGATTTGACTGTGTTAAAATTTTATGAATTTGTTAGGTGATGAACAAGATCTAATTAATTTCTGTCCTTGGGCAGTCTTGAGTCCTCTCCTAGTGCTTTCTTCCCATGTTTTCATATAAGAAAAATCAAGGTTATAAAGAGTTATGGATTGGTTTGGGGGGCTCTCCAAAATTTGGGGCTGCATGCGTACACCTTCAGACTGTAGCAGAATGTTGAGAGTTCAGTAAGGAGTATTTTTTACATAAAAATATTAGTCCCAGTAACTAACAATTGGCTAACTTGAATCTTAATCATACTTGCTCATTATTACTGTTAAATACTTTAGAAATAAGAGTAAAAATGTAATATTTTTTACTCCAGAGTTAATGATTTTCTTCTTTGATATCTCTTCTGCGTAACTTTCTCTCATGCAATATTGTGTTTGCAATACACATATCAAAATATTGTTTTTCCCCCAAACTAGATCATAGATACAGATACCCTGATGGAAAACGTAGTAAGTGCATTTTCCGATCCCAGCCCACGTGTGCGATTGGCTGCAGTGAGATGTCTTCATAGTTTGTCTCGTTCTGTGCAACAACTGCGTACCACATTTCAAGACCATGCTGTTTGGCGCCCTCTTATGAAATTACTGCATAATGCAAATGATGACATACTTACTGTAGCATCTAGTACACTTTGTAATCTTCTGTTAGAATTTTCGCCAAGTAAAGAGGTAAGTGACTGGCTGTAATTTTAGTTTTTATACCAGAGAGGATCAGAAAGAATCACGCTAATCCACCTTTCCAAGTTAGTTTAATAGAGAGATTAAACAAAATATATGTACAATGAAACATCATGTTAAAATTATTTTTCAATATAAGAATTGATTATCAAAATTTACTTCTATTGTGGCATTAATTATAGTAAATCTTGTTTATATAATTTCTTATAGTTGATTTTTGTAGCTGGCAATATGCCCAGTAAACAAACGTCAATGATTGAAATGTATTAGAATTGATATCATGATGAAGGAAATGCTTTGAGATGAAAGTAACTGTGTGGTATCATTGTGTATAGGTTTTGTTCACCTCCTAAACATTTTGTAAGGGGATAAAAATTACGTGTTTCTTTTTGATCCTCCATTGTACTTTTACCATAAGCTTGACTGTCTTTAAGATATGCTGTTCGATATGTATATCTGACTCTGTTTTTGAACCAATAAAAAGGTAGGTTAGTAAATTATATTACTTTGATTCATTTTTATAATTTTGGTGACTGTGTGAATGAGTCCATTCTGAATAAATGGGCTTATGTTAAATTATCCCCAAAGAGTTCCCTCCACATATGCACTTGTTTTCGAATGCCGACATGCTGACATTTTTCAAAGTGGAGGCATGAAGGTGTAAGTATCTCGATAATCATTCCAGTGGTTTTCCACTCAGCCAATCCTGGAGTGTGGTGCCGTAGAACTTCTCTGCGGACTGACACGTCGAGAGGATCCATCGCTACGCCTGAATGGAGTTTGGGCTCTCATGAATATGGCCTTCCAGGCCGACCACAAGATCAAAGCTCAGATACTTACGGCCCTTGGCAGTGAACATGTGTTCCGGCTACTCTCTGACTCAGACGTGGATGTATTGATGAAAACATTAGGATTGCTGAGGAATTTACTGTCTACCAAGCCTGTAAGTAGTGTATGTATGATTCTTCTTTGATCATTTTAGAGATAAATGATTATTTTTTGTTTTTATGTACCTTTATCCAGATAAATATGGTGTTTTCAAATTATCTATCTAGAGGGCTGGACAAGCTTGTAGAAGAAAAAGGAATTTTAGTTGAAGCACCACTTAAAATTTTTAAATTTATAATAGAGAAAAGCATTAGAAAATGTGATATTTTCTAATTATCTGCCCAACCCTTTTGCCGATTAATTTTTCATCAAGCTAAGATGTGGAAGACAACAGCCATTTTCTAAAATGGTGGCACACTAAGAATTACATAAAACAGCAACTGTTTAACAAAATTGAAGATATAAAAACACCCATAATAAAAAAAACTTAATTTTTTTTTTCATTTGCTCTTTCCATGTGCATGTCAGTCTGTTTCAGTTTCAAAACACATCCGAGAAATGTTGAAACTTTCTCTGTGTGTATCCTGCAATTTATTTTAGCTCTAAAAAAAATATCAGAGAACTGTATATACTTGCAATTGTGCACACTTTTGTTCTTTCTCTCTGCACAATGATCCATTTTCATTTAAAGAATGTCAGAGAATTGTGCAAATTTCGATCCATAAAATTTAGTTATTTACGAAATACAGTTTCATGGAATGCAGGTTCTCGTATTCTCCAACTGTTAGGCAAAATGCTGTATTTCTGAAGAAATGGCAATGCTTTAGTTTTCATCAACTGGTGAACTCCACAGACCTATTCCAGTTCCTTAAAAGGGGGGGAAAATGCATTCAGCATAACTCAAGAATTAATGGCCACTGAATTTAAAAGTCAAAAACGCCTCTCGTCTGCTGCATGTACATTCACGCATACCTTGGGTTGCCAAGTTAATACATTTTGTCAAAGTAAGTAATTAATTTTCTATTTTTCCAACATAGTATTTTGCCTGGTGAATTCTTTCGGGATTGGGCAGATAAACGTACCAAATATGTTACTAAAATTTTGGATTTTACAAGAGTTGAAAATTTTTATTTCAGAGCTTGTTAGGCTTGAATACAGTAAAAAATGTAGCAATGTGCATGAAAGATGAAATTGGTGCTGGAAGATTAAGTAGCAGTTTGGAAACAAGCCTAAGGCTTCTGCTATTCAAAATTTTATCTAGTGTTATATGGATTATATTCTGATAAAAGGTGCTGTCCCTGCTTTTAACTGCAGCTTTCTTCAACTTTGTGTCGTTATGAAAAGGGTTTAATATTTATGAGTAAGATTCCGATAATCCATGAATGCCATTAATCTCTGCTCGTTTTTGGATTTTAACCTGTTGGCATCCATGGACAAGTATACGTATTGGAACCCTGGAATGTTTTTTAATAACAAAACATATAAATTTATATAAAATTTTCACTTAACAAATACACAGAGATAAATGAGGGTATTTATATATATATATACGTACATCTTAATCATGAATAACATTTGATATTGCTGCAGCTTAAATTGAATGCTGTGTAGCTTAGAATGGTAATTTCCCGATCACAGCATTCCAAACAAAACTGGGTTGTCAGATTCATAGTTCAAACAAATGACAAAGCATATGATTAAATAATGTCAACCTGGAAATGCTAAACTTAGTAGGAGTGGCAACCCAGACAGCAAAACATCTGTGGAGACAGCTTAAACAAAATATTGTATGGAATATGAAAATAACACCTGTGGTTGTGATCTGTGAACGATGAGGACAAATTTCTCGCCATGTTGTGACATCGGAACAGTGTTCATGTGAATGAAAAATAGAGATGGCTATCAGTATTATTTTATATCTGATTATAGTAATAAAATTATTTCTGTTGAAAAGTTGGAAATAGGAATACCTCAGTCGACAGATTCCAAAGAAAATTTTCATTAAAACACTTTTTTAATGTGTTTAAAGTGCAGTGACAACCATCTTGTGATTTGGTAGATCCTCTTCGGGACCACATCGTTGTATTCATTTGGTAATTCTGCATAATTTAATGTAATAATATGGTAATATAATAAAAGTAAGTGCATATAACTTACAATAAACCCAATTTTACAATAAACCCTCATTAACATGGTTCCCAAGGGATGGAAAAATCAAGAGTCTGTGTTAAAAAAATTCATGCTAACTGGGGACTCAAATTTTATTTGGAGTAGTTTTTTGTGCACATAAACCATTTACAGTACATAGATACATACATACTACATTATAAATACTATATGAAGTGCTGTATTGTAACTAAAAAAAATGTATTCGCTGATCTTTCTCAGGTTAAAAATTCCTATATTGCTGTGTAGCAGACAGAAACAAAAATGTGTGGTAACTTCACAGCCAGCTGTACGTATGGCTTCTGTAAAACTGCAGTTAATTCAGTTGTTGCAACAAACGTTCTTAAGTGTCCAATGCATGTAACACTTACTGGTGGGTGGAAGGAATGATATTGTTACGAATTTTGTATGTAGATGGATGATTTTAGTGTAGTTATATGTAAAATTGTTGTATTTTTCTGAGTTATGTAACATGAAAATCTAGAGAAGCAAAGTTTTCCAGAAAAGTAAGAATACAGGCACAAGTCTATTTAACACTGAGTAAATGGCTGTCTCATTAAATTGGTTAGATATCGACAAGCTGGAAACAGTTTTGGCGATTAGTTTTTTCTACCAAAAGTTGCCAAACTTGGCAACTATTTGATAGCATTTGGATCCAGTCCCTGTACAATAGTAATAGTTATTGCTATTGAATAACTGTAATTCATGTTAGATGCTGTGCAATCATATTCAGCCTGCCTTCCAGTAATTTTGAGAAGCTGAAAGTACTAGAAATATCTTAGGTGGGTGAAAGCTGTACAAGACCGGAAGGAGCATCTGCTCTGACTGGTGAGTGGTTGGTTCAGCATGAGTACTGAGATATCTCTGGATTAGCTCTTCTGTTTAGATGCACTTTGCATTGTGTTGTGTTTAATGTTCTTAGTAGTCTGATATGTAATTGTATTCTGTGATATTGTGAAGAGGTGTATGACTATTTTTATGTAAAGTTCTGGAACTGTGAAGTATTTCTTTTGATGAAATAAATTTTATGAATCTGTTATGGGAGCTGTGTGCATTCAGTCTATTATGAAAAAAACTGCATGCACACAACAATATTGTCCATGTCACTTTCTTCTGATGATATTTTTTGTACCTCAGACCCTATTACTTGTACATCAGTTTCCACCAGAGCACACATGACAGCATCGTCATTTGTGCTAACAAACTCCGCAGAGTTAACAGCAAGGTCCACAACTTCTTTTGAAGAATATTCCATTTGTCAGCTGAAGTGGTATCATTGTCACCATGTAGCTGATCAACAAGATTACTGTTGTCTTCATGCTCTGTTAAAACAGTTCTGTATGCATTGGATTTCCAGAATGGGGTGATAGCTTTTATTGCATCAAGCTCATTCCAAGTTGGCATTTTCGTCTCCTTTTCAGCAGTGTGGATTGTGTCTCAGGTTGCTTACAATAATACCTCTTTGCAAGACCAACAATCCAAAGGCTTGATCCAAAGGCTGAAGAGAGATGTTGCATTTGGAGGGGGAAAAGAGTAAGTTGAAAGTTCTCATTAAATGAAAAATTCAAATGAAAATTCACAATTCGTGCTAACTGAAATTTGCGTTAACTGATTAAACTTCGTATAAGATTGTGTGCGTTGCTGCTGAGACTAAAATTTTGTGCATGTTAAGAATGTTTGCTTTAGTTCATGTTGAACGGTGGTTACTGTATTTATTTTTTTACATATTGCTACTTTGTCCTGTGATTTAATTTAATAATGTTATCAGTTCCTTTTATTTTGAAGATGGTTCATAGGCAGTAGGTCACCTGTTGCAAAACCAGTTTTTCCGTTGTTCCAAAATAAATTACTTCCCGAGATAGTGATTGTTGTTGACCTGGAGTTGATGGTACAACTGCAAATAGTTATATAGATTCGAAATATCAAACTGAAAGCTTCCTTTAATTCCTTCAGTTTCTACCTAGAAATCATATAGCCTTTAGATTTTTTATTATTTTCAAACTGTTTTCAGTTATCGCATTAAAACTTAAAAGTGATGAAAGAAGTTGTGTTATGCTGCTGATAGTTGCATCTGTATTGTAGTTTTGTACAATTTTTGAAGGATATTTTAATCTTAATCTACTTGTATTCCTTATTAATGTCAGAGCTTTGTACTGTATGCATTTTCAGCATATTGATCACATTATGGGACTTCATGGAAAACAAGTCATGCAAGCCATTGTGCTGATTCTGGAAGGCGATCATAATGCAGAAGTTAAAGAACAAGCACTTTGCATCCTCGCAAATATTGCAGATGGAGATTTTGCCAAAAATTTCATTATGTCTAATGAAGATGTATTAAAGAAACTGACAACTTATATGGTAAGCTTTTAATTATTATTTCATGTCGATAGTAGTCCTTTCCGTAATGCTGTTTGAATTTATATTACTTTTTTTTAAAACATGATAGGTATTTAATTCTTTCTTTAAAGATGTATCTAAAAGTTTATATGGAAAATAACAATTAGAATGAAATGTTCAAGATCAAAGACAATGTGTATATGAGCTTTTCAATTTCCTTGTATACAAAAATAGTAATAATTTAAAATTTTAATTTACTGTTTCAATTTGCATCTTCTGCTTTTTGGATTTGGAATAAGAAATTTTTCAAAATCTAGTGGGCAACTTTATTGTGCTGTTTTAGTATTAAGGTCATTTTAGTTTTGTTTATCTAATTTTATCTTAACAAGTATATGTTTAAAATTTTTGTATTTGTGCTGCAGTGCGGCAGCACAAATACAGCACATTGTCTGTGAGACTATCTGCGCAGTCACTAAGCTTTACTGTTGATATTGTTAAAAATAAAATGAAAATGGTTGTTCTAAATATCTGAAGTTGTGTTTTAATTGTTGCTGCCATAGCCAGTCGAACACCTATCTGCCAACAAGTTAAGAAAAATTCTATTTCCTAGCTAAACTGCAACTGAATCCTATACATTTTGTTGAAATTTTCAGTGGTCAACTTTCTACAAAGGAAACTTTGACTCGTCAAAAATTATATCGGACTAATCTTTTATGTCAACTCTGGATGAAATGGAAAGATAATTATTTGATGCAATTGAGAAATGCGCATAAATTTTTAAATCCATCACCAGGAAAGGATCTTAAAAGAGGAGATGTAGTTTTCTTGAAAGGGGCCGCAAAATCAAAATTTCTGTGGCCACTTGGTATACTCAAAGAGGTTTTTACTCGCCGTGACAGACACATACCTTCGTGTGTTATTCGAACTGACAAAGGACAATATAAAAGACTAATCCAGTTAATTTATCTACCTTGAAATAACCTGATATTTCTCCTTTAATATTGTCTTATGCATAACAAATGTCGTTAAGTACAGTGTATGCTCATGTAGTACTATTTGTATTTGTGTTATACTTATTAATTTGTGTTGTATTTGATCTCTTTTCTTATTATTTAAGGTACTCTTAACAGAGTACAGGTGGGGTGTGTTTAAAATTTTTGTATTTGTGCTGTGATGCGCTAGCACATCGTCTGCGAGACTATTTATGCAGTCGCAAAGCGTTACCATAGTTACCAGTTTTTTCTTTACCATTGTTATTGTTAAAAATAAAATGAAAGTTGTTGTTCTAGAGATTTGAAGTTGTGTTTTAATTGCTTATTCGGACAACATTTAAAAAATATTATATTAAATTGCCTCCTTTCAGTTTATGTTGGGTTTTTTTGTGAATTGCTTGCCAGAGTTGTTCTTTACTTTCTTTCCCGAAGTGTAAGCACTGGGGTGCTTCTGTTGCATGTTTTAGATTATATTTAACTAGCATTATTATGGAAATAATTCACAGAAATTTTAAATGAGAATAGTACCAATTTGTTGTGTATGTATCAGATGAAAGCTCTGAATGTAGTAACAAAACATAAATAAAATAAATAATGTGAAAGGTTCTGTTGATGAGTTCGCAGTCTCTTGTCAGTCTTGCTGGTTGAAGTCTTTTTAACTTTGTATTCAACATCGCTTTCTTCGCACTTTTGTCACATAAAATTCAATAGCAAAATCACGAAACATTTAAAAACAATATAGTTTTATAATTTTTGATAGAGAGTTAAGTATGCCATCATTTTATATGTATTGGCTATATTATTTATTTAAAAATAAGACATGGCAATATCATTTATCGGCAACATCCATTTATCTGAAAAAAGTGATATGGACAAAAGATGGAGAATCAGGATAAATAGCATCTCTGATGCTAACACAAATATTTACTTTATATGATGTTCTCACTGTGGGTTTTTATTTTATAATTTTATCTTTTTTTTTTTTTTTTTTTTTTTTTTTTTTTTTAAATTTTTTAGATGCATCCTAATGTGAAGTTACAAATAGCTGCTACTTTTTGCATTTCAAATTTAGTGTGGAAAGAAGAGGAAGGTAAGAACTTTTAAAAACTGTACCTAGCTATGTTTTTACTGCAAGAAGTTTGTAATAGTGACAAAATGTTAAAGATTGTAACCAAATAAAAATAATTGAAACTTCTTAAAACACTTGATAATTTACTGTATTCTGCTCTTTCAGTTGCTACATGTGACTGCTATATGTGCAGATAAGTTTCTGCTTATTTGTCAGTCATCACTTACTTCATCTGTCTCTTGATATCCACCCCATGATTTTTATTATCATATATTTAACATAATTCACTTCTTTATTATTACTCAAAATTTATTTTTTTCAAAGTTATTTTAGACGTTTTAATAGTAACTGTTCCAGAAATTTGGCAGTCCGGCAATGGCCAGTTGTCTCGTAGATAGCGGAGAGTCGAAGCGAGTCTGTTTGGTTTCTAATGATGCATTTTAAGTCTAATTATCAATTTAATTCTATTTGTTGAGCCTTCTTTGAATTGCCAAATTATCTTTACAAATAAGCAGAAGCTTTTTTAAAATTAATGTTGTCTTTAAGTTGCCAATTTGTCCACTATTTAAACTTGAACTAATTTGTATTCTAGTGGTGGTGGATGTAAGGCACGGAAGCGACAAAAAGGAATTAACATAAAAATTATGTTAGCTGAAATAAGCCTTATTTGAAGTCAGTCTCCCCCTTCTACCATCGATGCCACTCATTGTTTATTTTTTTTGTATACTCAGCATGCAGAATGTTCATTTCATGTAAAGATTTATTTTGTCTTGCAGTATTGTATAATTTGCAACTATGATTATAATATATGTGTTTTCAAATTAGATGAAATAATTATGTTAAAAGTATTTATATTATATTTGATTTAAAATAAATTGGACTGTATTTACATTGGAAGTAATCATTTCATTTTTTTGTGCATTTTAGGAGCTTTAGAACGTCAGTCCAAGTTAAAAGACCTTGGTGTACAACAACTCTTACAGCAGTTGCTTTCTACCAGTGACACTACACTCTTTGACCGGTAAGTTATGCCTTTAATTGAATTTTATGCATATATTGAACTTTTAAAAATATAATGCCATTTTTTTCTATAGATGTCATTAGTAGAACTGTTTCCTTGCAACCGAATCTGGATGTGATTGTATTTAAAGTTTTGACGGCAATAATTTGTTAAAAATGTAAACAATAATTATTTTGACTTCATTAAAAATGAGTTTTATATGTATATGTGTGTGTGTGTGTGTGTGAAAGGTAAGCCTGTGCTCGGCAATAACAATGACAGGAAGGAAGTTAAGCTATAGGCACTGTCTGCTGATGAAAAATGAAACAGCTATGGAATAATTTCCTTAAAAGCTGAGCTTTAAGATGGATTGGAACTGGGATCGTTAATTAGAGGTGAAAGGTTTAGGAATGTGAAACTGCTCTAGAAAATTTTAATGATGCAAAATGTTTTTTTGAATGATTTAGGGTGCAAACATTATCAAGGAATCTTGTATGTACCTGGGAGTTCATATCCGGTATGGAATCTTTATTTATGGAACTGCAAATATTATAGAGAGAAGTAAAAACAACTTGAAAGTTGAATTTCTGTAAAATGTTTGAAATTTTACGGCTAATCGATGGAAAGAAAAAGAATAACAACAGAATTCTTATATTAGACAAATATAAAAGACTTTTTATATCTCCTGAAATTAGAGAGTGCTTTTTGTTTTTGTGAGAATTTTCAACATCTTGGTCATTAATGCTAGGTGAAAAGCCTCTGCTGATAGCAGCTGCTTTTAAATGCTTTAGTTCTTGATCGAGAGCTGATTACCTTCTGTTTAGTCAAATGACATGATAGAAGCATGGTGGAAGGCAAATGGATGAAGGTTTATGATGTATACTATAGAAGTTGGATTACTATAGAAGTTGTGCAGCAAGATGTCAAGGAATGGAAGGGAATTTTATGTATCAAGATCAAAAGTGAACTGAGTAGGAAGATCAATGGAATTCATTATTAAAATAACTGATTTTCTTAGTGTCATTATTATTGCCTGAGCAAAGGCTTCTGTTTTGTCATTTGTACTTCTGCAGTTGAACAAAAAGATTCTGTAATTAAGCCTTTGAAACTAGTCAAATTTATTAACATTATGCAGATTCTTTTTGCCTTAACATTATCTACTTTGCCTGCTTCGGTGTGTTATTTTAACTGGGAATAGTTAATCAATTTGAATGAAGCATTTAAACAGAAATTTCAAAAATATCCAAAATATGTCATAAGATGTGACTAGATTATTTTCCAACATGAGAGTGCTAATCATATGTAGTAGTCAACCTACTCCCTCTTGCCCACTAATGGGTGATTTAAACTTATATGGTAGAGGTTTTTGTCTGATAGTGAAGATTGAAATGCTTTTTCAGATACTTCAATAGACAGAAAATACAAAAGGGAATTAAGAGGCATATTTGCCTATCATTTTTCCACGTAATCACCAAATCCATTTAGGCATTTATCCAAACTCGGGCCCGACTTGTTTAATTCGGCTTGGTAGAAATCACGTCCCTGCCCACTGAGCTTGTTCTCGGTAGCTGTTTTTACATCACTATCCGAGAAAACTTCATTCCAGATAAATGTCCCTTCAGTTTTGGAAAAAGAAAGTAGTCACTGGGTGCTAAATCTGGCGTACACTGAAGTCACTCCAAACATCCCACTTAAAATTTTGCACCAATTCTTGAGTTTGGTGAGCAGCATGGGGATGTCACAATGGCACAATGACGATTGGCCGTAACGGTATGGCCATGCTCCAAGATATTCCATCAGGATAATGAATCGTGGCTCACACCTCCAAGTGAGACCACTTTTCTAAATGTCTTGCCATTTCTGTTACTTTGACGTGTCTGTGAACTTACCAGCACAACCACTGCTAGACAACTAGTGCCATTTGTTTACATTTTGGGGGAAAAGTAGTTTCCTTGCACAATAAATCAAGGTTCATACAGTCCTTAAAAGTCCTTAGGGATTTTGCAATCGATTTTTGTCCTTAAAAGTCCTTAATTTCGTCTAAAACAGGCAGAAGGTACTTGATTTTAATCATCTGAAATTTCTGTCTGTTTTTACAATTGCACTTTTGAGTGTGAATTAGCATGTTGGAGGAATATTTTTGGCAGTTCACTGGTAAATATGATTATCTTTTGAATGGGTTGTAATTTGTTCTTATTTCCGATATAAACATCGGGATACTCGGAGTTTCTGGGCAAGAAGTGAAACATAAACATTTCAAAATTTTTTCAAATGAAGACCTCTTAAAACAACTTTTCGCTTTTGGGGATGTGAATTTTTTTGTTAAATGGCTCTAAATTTGGTGACTTATCAACATTTTGCTGATTTTAAGAACAGTTTCTATAGAAAACTTTTAATTCAGAAATCTGGGAATTTTGGAGATTAGCAGCTTATTATACACTCTGTTGAATCTGAAAAATAAACAAGGTAAGAAATGCTGTAAAGCACAATTTATGAAATAATTCTTACAAAAGCAAAATAGTAATTAATTAAAAGTGTTTTTCTCTCCCCCCCCCCCGAAAAAAAAATACTTCTGGCTTTTTGCTGTTACAAAATTGGTAGAGGTAATTTTTCTTTAGGATTTTAGACGTTGCAACTGTGAAAGTTTAGAAGGATTTGAAGGCAAGATTTATAGAACTACAATTCTAGAAGATTCTAGAAAAATGTCTTCATGTCTTCCTTTTAGAAAAACATATTTTATCTTTTTGTTTGTAATCACAAGAGTATTATTCGACACTTATCTTCACCCTATTCATCAGCAAAAATAATGAAAAATGTTCAGTTAAGAAGTAAAATTAAAAAAAAAAAAAGAAAAAAAACTTTACTTTTTAAAAGAAGAAAATTTTTGCTCAGTATAAATTTTGAATTTCAAATTTTTCTTTTAAAAATTACAGAAATTATCATCTATTGTATATGATTTTCAAGGAAACATCAATTTTTAACCCCAAAATTTCTACAATGCAGATGCTCATATTGTGTGGGATTATTTTTCTCGTCTTAGTCGTAATTACTTTTAATCACTTAGTGTTACTTAAGTTTTTATGTTTTTATCTTAGAATTTATGTTTTTTGTGTGTGAAATGCATTCATATAGCAAATTGTTTAATTAATGTATGTATTTTTTCTTCCTCAGTGTAAAGACAGCTCTCCATCAGTTTCCCAGTCAAGGAACTTGAAAAACTTCTGTCTGCTCTTCATGTAATTTTTAATTTTAGCTGACTGTGTATTATTTGGTTTATTAAAATGTTTTTGTGAAAAATTATTTGATTTCATGTTAATGACTTGTGTATTGAACATTCACACTCAGCCTACAATGTGAAAGAATGCTATTCAAGAAAGCGTGCCCTTTAATAGTTTGATAACTGTAACCAGCCATAAAAATTTTTATTAAGCCTGTCTGCACCTTTTTTAGATGATTTTCATTGTATTTACAGAAATATTTTAGCTAAAGTTTTTGTATTTTAAATGTTTCATTTGATGACTGTTAGACTTCACTATCTTTCTACACCATAATTTTCAAGACAATAAGGACAATCCAAAAATCCATGGATGATATATATCAGGAGATTTAGTAGGGATATGACTGAAGGAAAAGGCCTTGATACACGTTTTTTTGTTCCATTTTTACCAGGAAATTACCGGTAGATTTTGATGCGTGGCTGCTTGCTTCATCCTGATGCAGTTCTATTGATTGATGGCACTGTGGGTGAAGAGAAGGTATTTCATATTTTACCATTGGGTGTAAAATATGTTCCTTATAATATGTGGAGTTAGCCTTAATAGTTTTCTGAACTCTCTTCAATTTTTGTTTGTTGTTATATCAAAAACCAACAACAATCATAAATCCCTTTGAAAAACTTTCTTTACATTTTTTTAACCATGTTCTAAGATTTTTTCCTTCTCTTTGGTGATAATAAACAGATCTCATTTTATTGCAGTCATTTAAATAGACCCAAGATTCGTCTATCGTGACAACATTTTTCCATTTTTATTCAAATAATTGTTTCTCATAGAGAATTCTGCAGCGCATTCTGCTTTCAGTGATATGCCGTGGATGAAGACTATGCACGTTACGTTTTTTGGTCTTTTTAAGATTCAAATCAGCATTAATCACTTTGTTCACAGTTGATACTGAGCATTTAAATGAGTGTGCAACTGTCCTTTTGACTTCAATGATTTTCTTTTAACATTTAAAGGTCTTACCTTTGCAACATTTAAAACATTCCGTTTTTTTTCTTCGACATGTATTTTGAACATTTTTTCTCCTTGATGTCAAACTTTGGTGTTTTTTCCCTTTCTTATTGGCAATATTATTGTTGCTTAAGATGCTGAAAAATCGAGGCTTTCACAAGATTTTTTAATAACTAAATATGAATAATTTTCTTTGGAAAGAGCGTAAACTTAGCCTTTCATTCATTGTTTTTTTAAAAACTCCAAGGTCAAATAACAGACAGTAATTTATACTTACAAAAATATAGTTGCAGCTAAGAAAAATTTCCCAGCAGGCTATTTTTTTATAGCAAAGTCGTCTAAAAAATGTGCGAATAGCCTCTGTTATTATGTGTTTATAAATATATCATTTGGGGGAGGGGGAAACTGGTAAGAAAAGGTATGTTACATATAAAGCATTTAGATACTCATACATGAAAGTTGGAAGCCTTGATTAATGATGCTGTTTGCAACCTGCATGTTATTACAGAATTGTATAAAAAACATTTGATTTTGTTTGAGAAGAGCTTAATAATTATGTTGAAGGAAGTAAAGTTATAAATTTTGCAGTTAGAACAATTTTTAGTTTCTAACACAATTTTGCAATTGAGTTAGAAACCTATTTCCTATATGATCGTCATGGTATAAACTAATATATGTTGCAAAATGTTATTAAAAAACATTGCAGGCAAAATGAATTTTTAAATTATTATTACATACACTGATCATCAAAATTAAAGTATAATGAGAAAGAACATGCTTATGAAGTTAACCCTTTGCATTCGAGCGGTGCCTCTCAGGCACCACTGCATGTGATGCGATAACTCGAGCGGTGCCTGAGAGGCAACATTCGAATCGATGTGTTTATTTGTGTTTGACCTAAGGAATATCGCTTGAGAGATCTGCTTGGCCTTTTGTAGATCATATTACGAGGTGTCTGAATAGCTATAAGGATGTCTTATCTCAAAAATACTTGCAATTGCGGGTAGGACTCTGTCTTCAACATCTGTTCGAACTCAACCTTTTTGCCGATCGCAGTATTTCTTTACTGAGCCCAATAAGTATGGAACACGACGAAGAAGTTACTTCTAGCGAAGATGAGTTTAATTTTTCGGCAATAACGAACGAAATTACATCACTACATAGACAGCTTGCCCATGAGAACGAAGACGGAAGTGATAAAGATAGTGACGACGTTAGAGGAGCAAGAAGACGAAAAATCCGAATAATATTGATAGTGAATCTGGAAGCCAAAGTGATTGTACAGAAGAGACTGAACCTTCAGAATGGACAGTGTGCACAGAATCCGAAGAAATCCCCAGAAGAATACCGTTTGTATCCGGTGAAAGACACAAGTAGGACCGCACGTATTTGCACACATAAAAGAACCAATAGATTTTTTCAAATTATTTTTCACCGAGGAATTAGTTACTGACATAGTGCAGGAAACTAACAATAACGCTGCAAGGAAGGTGGAAGGGAAGACCTTATCATCCCATTCTATATGGCGATCATGGTACGATGTAACAGTTACCGAATTTTGGGCGTTTATTGGGGCAATCATAAATATGGGGACAATGCCACTGGCAAACATACAAGAATACTGGTCGAAAAATGATACTAGTTATATTCCAGTTTTACTCAGACACGTTTACGAGAGACCGATTTTTGTCAAATATTTTGGAGACTTCACCTCAAAGACAATACCCTCAGAAAAACACAAACCCTAGAAACCCGTTTGCAGTTAGTATCTGGTTTCCTCGAGTATATAAATGAAAGGTTCTTGAATTATTTTGTACCCGGAGAGCAGATTTGTGTGGATGAGTCGACTGTCAAATTCAAAGGCCGCATATCATTCATTACGTACAATCCAATGAAACCTACAAAATGGGGTATTCGGGTTTATACGCTCGCAGATTCAAATACCGGCTTCATTTGTGCTATTCTGCCATATTATGGATCTCTAACAACAGAGACTTTGATAAGACCCGATCTACCGGTATCAACCAGAATACCGCTACATCTATACAAAATGATACAGGATAAAATTCCCGGTGTTCAGGGACACCACATGTTCACGGACCGTTATTATACGAGTTACATATTGGCGGAAGAATTACGCAAACAAAAGTGCCACTTAACTGGGACGATCATGACAAATAGAAAGCACCTGCCATGTGAAATACGAAAGCCAAAATTTGAGAATCGAACCACATGTGCATATCGTAAAGGTAATATTTTGGTTCTTGCGTGGAAGGAGGATTGTGATGGCTTTGACTACTTGGAATAATGCGGGAATAACTCCTGTAAGAAGAACTCTACGAGGAGGTATTGAAGTCGTTATAAAAAAGCCCAATGTTATTGTAAATTACATCAAATTTATGAGCGGTGTTGATCGAGCTGACCAACTGGCTTCGACATATTGTTTTTTAAGAAAATCCGTAAAATGGTGGCGAAAACTATTTTTGGGGTGTTTGGAGATCTGCTTCATCAATTCATACATTCTTTATAAATCAGTAAAGAAGCAGAGAAACAAACGGCCGCTTAGTCACCTACAATATTTGAAAACTTTAGTGGATCAACTGAGAGGAGACTTTCGACAAAAACAACCCAGCACAGCTTCTACTTCACACAGCATTTCTGAAGCGATCCAACTAAATGGCTGCATATTATTTTGATGGGGCAAAAAAAAGATTGCAAGGTTTGCTCCCAAAGGCGACAAACTGTATACTATTGTGACACATGCCCCGACAAGCCAAGGATGCATATTGGAGATTGCTTTGTAAAATATCATACGAAGCAAAATTTTAGAACGTAATGTTTAATACATATGTTTCATTAAGTTAAAAAAATATGTATAATGTTAAAATATACGAGTTTAAAGTGTTTTATTGTGTCTAAAATTTTTTTTAAGTTAACAATAATGAACTCATGATATAAGCGGGAGTGGCTGATTACTCTTGAGTTGCTGGTTCACCCGACAGAAAAGCGCCTCGAGCGCAAAGGGTTAATACTGCAACCAGTGCCGAATGATGTAATTTTTTATGTTAATTAAATACAACTGAACCCAAAATAGCACTTCTGCTCATACAGTAGTACCAGAAATATGGAAATTCAGTGATTGAAAATGGAGTATGCAAAGGACACATGTTGGAATTTCGATCTGTAGTGTTGTTTAAAGTGAATATAGTTTCTGAGAGTGATCAATATTCAGTGGTTATGCTTCAAAGGCATCATTTAAGTGAAGGTCAGAAGTCGAATAATTCGTAGAATTTAGGCAGATCAAACACAAATTGAGGTCTCTGAAGATTTGAATATCCCTCAAAATGTTGTGCAATATCAAGAGTGCACTGGATCAGTTGATAAATTGCCTGGTTAAGGTGAGCAAGAGCAACAACTACATCAGAATAATATTGTCATTTTGGTTTGAAGAAACCGAGAAGCGACTACAAGAAATATGGTTTGTGATCTTTAGGCTGCCACAGTAACTCGAATGAGCCATTCTACTGCTGCATACAAGAAAACCAATGGTTTGTGTCCCACTCACTCTAACTTCCAGAGGGGCCCATTTAAATTGGTGCCATCATCATGTTCAGTGGAGCCAAGATGATTAGGCCTGAGATTTGTTTACTGATGACTCTAGATGTACAGTTTGAACAGTGATTCTATACATGTTTCGATCTGGAAGGATGAAGGAACATGTATCTTGCCTTACCCTGTCCGTGAAATATCCCATTTCCACGACTGCAATTTATTGGTTTGGGGAGGAATCGTGACAAATGGCCGCACTGAGCTGCATATCTTTCAAGCAAGTTCTGTAATCACTCGGTATGCAAACAAGGTATTGGAAGCCCAAGTTAGACTGTTTATTGGTGTTGTTGCCCCAGAGTTTGGGGTAATGGATGATAATGCTCAGCCTCATCAAACATATGTGGTGTCAGAATGCTTGCAAACAGAAGGTTTCACTCGAATGGACTGGCCACCTTATTCACCTGATTGAGCATGTGTGAGTTGCCATAGGGATGTTGAATTTTAACATGTCAAATTCCTCCC